TTCTGGAATAAATTATAATAATTATATAATAAAATACAAAATAATAATTATAATAAAAAAGTAATTCAAAGCAATATGCATTCATTTACTTCTTATCTTTGAAGATGTGTCAATACACAATTTTAACACATGTAGAGTTCTCTGAATGTGTAACTTGTTTGGTGGTAAGCCCCACTATGTGCAGAAGCATTCATTTTGAAGAACAACACTCTTACTTCCTAAATAAGGAAGCCGTGCTTTATTTGTATGATTTCTGCAGTTTCCTAAACAGTTCATTACCTGAGATCTTGAGAAATTCGATTTTTGAAAGCGTTTTCAGAACCAAACAAGAAAATAAACATTATTGTAGGAGTTCTAGGGAGAGCGTGTTTTTCATAGCTAAAGAAATTAGTTACAGTCTCATCAGCATCATGTCTATATGTCTGCTTTACAAAGAGATATGTAAACATGAAATGGTAAATGGTAATGAATCATAGTATCTTGTCAAAGTTGGCTGTTGTGGTTATATGTGAAAAAAATAACTGCAATGACCTACATTTCTGTATGACTCTTAGGAAGCATCTTTGCTTTCTTAAATCAAATCTGTAAAAATAATAGATGCAAAAAGTTAAAATTTGGAGGAAAAATAGAAGTGACCCAGTTAAGAGATCTAAAGACTTAAAATATTGATGTGCTAGTAGAAGAAGTTGTAAGCTTTGAAACAGAAATTAATTCTCTGAAGCATTTTCACCCAGTATTCTGAACTATTGGATACAATTCATGGAAATTTTTGCATTAACTAGTTGGACATAATACAAGTCTGGCATCTAGGATCATGTTCTGTAATGGAATGCATCAGTTCCATCAGGTGTATTAAGGTGTTTGTGGTTGAATAATATTTAAAAGAAGAAGAGTGTAAGCTACTCTTAGGAAACCTAAAAAAATTCTTAATGTTTTTAATATGGTATAATGAAAAAAGCTATTAAACATATGACTTAGTTTCTTTGTAGCAAGGTAATTGTGTATAGTCATCATTTTTCAAATTAACCATCTTAAGATAAAAAGCAAAGCTCTTCTATAGTAATATCTTCATGAAACTGGCAGTACACAGAGAGAGCAGAGGCATATAGCATTAAGTCATTAGTCACTGAAGTCTTTCTGCTTCATCGTGTCTTCTAAATCATTATTTGGCTGTACAAAGTATTAGTTGTTTTCTCTTCCAGACATTCCTAATCAAGTTATGCTGGTGAAACTGAGTAAGTAATAAAACTTCATATAACAGATAACACTGCTGGCTTTCTTTTAAAAGATGTGTGTATATCTAAACAGTTTTGTTTTCTGAGTTTCTTCTGCTAGTTGTTCTAGAAATTTGAACAGCACTGTTTATAAATCTTGATCCTTCTGTATGCAAGGATAGACTTTTTTTTCTTTCCAGTACTGAGCAAAGATCTTCTTTAAAATTCTTCCTATTAAAACATTTCTGTATGCAATCATAAATTATTAATTATGAATGTGTAGCTTTCAGTGTCTGTTTTTTATCAGATAATTGACAGTAAGATGTTTGTTCTAGGGACTAAGGAGTAGCTTAAGTTCTGTAACCTAATTCTTTGTCTGTGAATGTTTTTTTTTCTGCTATCTTGCATTATATCTTGGTATCTTTCCTGTAGCTTTATGAAGCAGAAAATAAGCATAAAATTTTGGAGAAGGAGTTCCAGCAATACAAAGAACAGCAAAGTCACCAACCAGAACTCCAGCTGCAATCAGAAATAAATCTTATCACTTTAGAGAAGGTATCTTGGCTTTTTATGTTCTTAAAAAACTGTCACAATGGTTCATTCATTGATAAGGGCAAAGTAGAATAATCTTACATGATAAACTAGTTGATTTGTTCACTTTGTTTTACTTTTTCCAACAGTTTCTTCAGAATTTAAATATTCAGACACATGTAAAGCTAACATTATTAACTTATTTCTATAGAGGAAGCAGTAGTGTTAGGGGCTAAGGCAGGAAAAAACCTAATCTATATATAAATTGCTACCACTGTAATTTATGCTGGGAACTCTGAGCATTCCGTTTATGAAACTACAGATGAAGATTTCTTGTGAGGATTAATTCAGACTGCTAACCCATTATGTCCTTTGGCTTTTTTATTAAGTAATATCTGAAAAGAGATTGTGTTACTTATCAGTGGAATGGAATCACTGTCATAAATTGATTTCTTAGAAACCATACATGCATTCAGTAGAGGATATTTTGCTTAATTAAAACCATGGAGATGGTGAATAACTTCTAATAATGCAAGCAAATAATTAAAAATGTTTGTCTCTGCAGACTTTTTAAACTCTTAGTTAAATATTTTTACATTTTCTATTTTCACTAGATCCGTAAAAAATCAGTGCTTTAAGATCTTGGCAAATTTAATGGTAAATAATTTTTGTCTAATTAAAAGAAAATATCACTGCCTGAGTTGTTATTAAAAATGTTAATTAAAAACATTTCTCATGTTACTGTGTTCTGTGTGCTTCAAAATTTTTTTCATTTGCATTTTAATACTAATTTTTTTCTGCACAGAATGCAATGATTTTTTTTTAGTGTGTAGCAATTTTTAAAGATTTATTTAGATAGTAAGATCAAAGATTCACACTAGATAAATAGATTTTGAAGAATGGTTTGAAGAGATGTCTATTTCGTAGAAAATTATACAGTATATATGTTCCATTAACTGCAGGAAAGAAATAAAATACCTTTGATGGATAAATCTTGCCTTTAAATGTTTCTGTTAAAGTAGTGTTTATAGTATTACTTTGAAATAAAAAAAATGGGGAGGGGGTTGCTAATTGGAGAATCTTAAATTTAAAGGTTATGTCATCAGATTTAGTGCTAAAAACTAATCTTTTCCTTTTTATATGGACGGCTATCCAATAAAAATAAGGCTATATTTTAAACAAGAAAATATTCATGTGCCATAATATTTATGTTATATTATATAACAGCTTTAGATGATGTTGTATGTTACACTACATAAACACTTTTCTTAAACCAGACCCTTTGTATATATACAACTTTCAGGGATTGTTACCGCTTTTATTGCTTCAGCTGATATGATTTTAATTGCTTTTAGGTTGAACTTGAAAGAAAGTTGGAGTCGGCTACCAAGTCAAAGCTGCACTACAAGCAACAATGGACAAGGGCTTTGAAGGAACTTGCAAGGTTAAAACAGGTATTCAGACTTTCTTTTGGTGTATGAGACAACCAAGTTAATATAGTATTGGAACCTACTGATAATTAATGTTAAATACTGGCAGTTTTCATTTTATTGGTGTTTGTCTTTGCAAAATTAAAGCTCTGAGGTACGCTTTTTACAAAAATGAGAACAGCAAAACTGATTTGATTTTGGCATTGAACTTGGGAAAGATGAAGGCTGAGGTCTGCAAAGAAAGCTGGTATAGCTAAAAGCAGGCATGATGCAAAAAAAGTTTTATTCATCTCATTCCCAATAATGCTCAGTCAGCATTTCCAGAGAAAATACTGTGTTCCCATCCCAACAATCTTGGTCAGTGACACTCCTAACTGTTCTGTATTTTAATTGTCAAATGAATGAAGCGTAGATATGAGAAACAAATCATAGGTTTTAGAAACAATTGTTTAGGACTTGTTGAATGCTATAAAATGAAGTCAACTTACAGAAAATTTAAGGTGGAAGTGAGACCTTTTTCTACTGCTTTTGGAAATCCTGATCTCATACTGATGTGGCATGCTTTTTTACTGCTGTGTTTTAACAGAGCTCTTGTCTATGTAGATGTGTGTATATGTGTGTATATACATATATACATTAATCCCTGTTGCTGAAAAAAAACCTTTGCAAAGACATAAAGCTTTAGAATTCAAGTTTAGTAAAAGGTTTTTATTACCTGTACTTAAACCTTCTTCCTGCTTGAGAAGTGGTATTTTTTTAAGGATTATAATTCCTACTTCATTCCTACTCCTAGAGTATTCAGTTTTTTGGAGAGTAGGAAGCTAAACGCACCCTCTTCTAATTGATAATTACCTTTTTTATATGTATTTCTCTTTGAAGAGAGCAACTCTGCTGTATAATCACTATTAATAATTAAAAATCCTCTCTATTTGCTGTCTTCAAATTGGTCCTTTTTTTGCCTAATGGTAAAAGGAGTCATGAATTCTCATATCCAATTTCTGAAACGTCTATGCTTGACAAAATGGTAGAAGGAAAAATATAAATCTTATCTCTCTGAAGATTTCTTCAGCAGCTATGAAATGTCTAGGGTATTTTTTTCTTACTGCCGTATTTAAAAATTCCTGTAAAATAAGATTGTTGCTTGCCAGATTAATGCTAGTGTATTTCACTATCGAGTTATTATAAATTTCATCACCATAGACCTCGCAATCTGAATTTAGCAACATATGTAGATGGTTTCAGCTGACCCTCTTGCTGAAAGCTTGAACCATAAAATAAGTTGGCATGTACAGTAAATTATGCCACCTAAAACTTTTCAACTATACAACAAACCCTGTCAAAGTAGTTTCTTGTGGTTTTTATGCTCCTGTGTTTTATCCTCTACTTTAATCTGTTGATAAAGGATTTAAGTGACTTTAAAAAGCCAAATAAAAGTTGAAGCGAAGCTGATCAAAAACCATTTACTGTGTTTTAGATATAAATTTTGAAACTGTTGCTTCAGGAATTCTAGATTTGCTTTAGTTCAGATGATTTGTGCAGTTGTGCATAGTTTGACCAATTTCTTGTTTAAATTGGATTAGTACCATGTTAATTTTGCATTCCTCTGGTGAATAGCCACAGGGCTGTAATGTGTGCCAGTAATTTGTCACACCAAAGCTCTCTAGAGAACTATACAAAACATTTTTGTCGTGAGGATTAGATGCTGAAAGCCATATCTTAGATTGTTAATAAATGTTAATGACAAAACCCAGCTGGTAAGCCTTAGAAATGAGATCTAATGCTTTGTGCCCATTGCCAAAAAAATGTTTAAACAGAGATTTCCATTACTCAGAGGTGACCTAGTACAGTCAATTTGTGAATTAAAGAAGCATAATCTAGAGGCTAAGCATTTAGTAAAATGTTCTTCTGATTTGCAACCATAAAAGTCAATGTTTCCTTAGTTAAAAAGTTTCCTTTTGCTTTGGAACTAGTTCTTAGCACACATCTGTGATGGTTTTATATTTTGCGGAATATGAGATGTGCAGTACATAACTTGGAGAAGTATAGGACTGTTAATAGAAAATGCTCTAAACTTCTGTGTCTAGAATTTTTATTACCTTTTTGTTACTCAGTGCAAGTGTTTGTTAATACTTCATTTATTATACCACTGTTCAGCTTTAGTAAGACATAAATCTCGACAAGTTAGCTATGTAACTGTGCACCCAGTTAGATTTTCTCATTTCCAGAGGTTTAAAAAATTATCTTTCAAAGTTAGCTGACTGGGAGATCTCAATGCTGCACAAATGAGACTGTTTTTATGTGTGTGAGCATTATTTCTGAAAGCAATCAAACCATTTACACAAAGTTACATACATGCTTACAGAGATCTTAGATGGTAAATTCAGTACGAGTGCAAGAAACAGTGTATCAAAACAAAAATCAAAGATGGCAAAAATGTAATTTTCAGCAGTTTATAGTATCTGTTATAATCTAGAAAACCAGAATCTCAAAATGTACATGCATACGTTACTCAGTTTTCTAAGCCTTTTAATGTGTTTGTGCCCTACAGATCTGTTAAAACCAGCGCTGATGTATTTGTTTAAAACAAGAGAGACCGTATTGGGTGGCGGACATTTACTCTATATTGTCCAATGTCTTGCTTATCCACCCTGTAATTAATTTGATTAATTTATAAGTAATTTAACCAAGGATGAGATGTAAATCTTTGTTTAAAACAAAAAGCACAAAAAACGCCCCAGTTGGAGGTCCAAGTCATGGTTAAAAACTGTGTCTTGAAACCATCCAGGCCCTCCTACTGACTTGTCAGCTCTGGGTTATTTTCAGAAAACTTTACTTGAGTTCCTTAGCTTCGATTGTAAGTTTTTCCCACAGACTTGCATGGTATGTATGAGTGGGAGAGTGAATAGTGGCTGCTATTTAGCCATTGTTTAGTCTAGTGTATGTATGTTTACATCTCCCTTTTGGATTTATAGGCAGCTATGGCAAAATAAAGATTGTGCTTCCTTGATTGAAGAGCCTCTTAAGTAGAGCACCTGGCGGCATACAGGGATTCTTTTAGGATTTGATTATAATTGAAGTTTTCAGGGTTTTTTTTTTACTGGTTAATTTTTATTTATTGCTGATATTCCTGTAGTACCATAGGTTTCAAATCATTATTGAAGTTTTTACCATGTGAGTGCCTAAAACAGTACTCCATGTCTCAAGCACTATATTAGAGATGCAAACTAATGAAGAAACATTGTATCGCATTGAAGTAAATTATCTGAGAACTAGTATATGACTTTAGATTGGATTTGTTTTGTTTATGGGGATGTAAGAGGAGGATGGCAAAATATCAATAAGAGAAGAATATCGGTGATAATTTTTATTGAGGGAGAGAAGGGTAGAAAATGAGCAAAAGCAATACTGTGACTAGCAGTGCTGAGAAAGTGGTTGAGGAGAAGGTACCTAGGCCAACTAAGCATATATTGCAAAAAAACTCGTACGTGATACCCTTGGTTTATCTGTGACCGCCTCACTACGGGGTAGTGGCTGATGATAATCAGGTGGTGATGCAAGAGTAAAGTTTCCAGGTGTGTTTAGTATCTAGTGGGTCTTATCTTTTATCCACAAAACTGCCTTTAGTCCAGCAGCTGATTATTCCAGAGTGTTCCCTTACCTGAAATTTAAAAATGCAGAATTCTAAAAGGTTATAATTTGAAATTCTAGTAGTTCTTACTGAGGCTTAAAACAGCCTGACCGGCTGCAATAAGCAGTTGGGAATAAATCTGAAATGTTCCTTGTTTAGAGTCATAGTATATATTGGATTGGAAGGGACCTTTAAAGATCACTCAGTCCAACCGCCCTGTGGTAAGCAGGGACATTGTTACTAGATCAGGTTGCTCAGAGCCCCATCAATCACTATACTATCCCAGGGATTTTGTGATATACTATAGAAGCATATTCTCTCTGGAAATGTAGAGTATGTCAGAAGGCCTTGACTGAGTATTTTAGCTGTGCGAATATGTATGTAAATTGTATATGCACTGAGGTACACTTAAAAATACTTTGTATTCAATTATAACTTAGTTTTTAAGTATACTTAGAATAAAATGAAGATGTTACAAGTGGATTTAGAAACGCTGGACTTTGCTTTATTAATAATGTAAATGTGCAGAAGTGTTTTATGATTATTTTTTCATTTTGGAAGATCTCACAGTAAATTCTGCTAAATTTCAAGTGCTGGTATGCAGTAGAGTTTGGTTCCTTCTCTGGTTTAGAAACAGAAATGTGCGTGTTGCCCAGTGGATTGTTAAACCGTGATGGAAAAAGTGGATTTAATACCTGAATGTCTCTAATAAAGTGGCATAGTTTCATCACTGTGATGAATAAGAAATCCTTCCTTCTCTTTCACTGTATCAAAAGACAGTCTTTTTATGGTCTCTCAATGTATCATAACAAAATTATATATAAATTAATTCAAAATCAGCATGCCTCACTTACCAAACAAAAATGTTGTAAATTTTTTGCCATCTTCTTGTACTGATGGATTATTAGGAAATGGGTTTCTGTTGCTCTGCTATGAGTGGTGTACATAGAGCAAGTTCGCTGTTACGCACCCTACAAATTGTTACAACAGACTTTTAAGGGAATCAAAGACTAATGTTGGGAAAGACATTTGAAAATCACAGAGTATGAAGTGTGTAATTTAAACTACACACAGGAGCCATCATAAATTAATCTGCAAAATCCCTTCTCACTTATTTTCATGTCTTTTTTCCAAGTTGGAGTGTCTTAAACTGCATGCTTGGCAGACCTTGCTTTAGAAAATGATTATTTCTATTTTTTCATTTAATATTACTGTGCTAAAATGTCATTATTTAGGGTCATGGTGTGGCATGCTACAGAAATTCTTGACTTTCACTGTTACAGGACTAAAATTAATCTTGTCTTTTCCCCCACACTTCCCAAACAAGGAAATGTCAAATATTTGTCATGTTTACATCACAATTGTATTAATAATCAAATTAAATTTTTTCACATTTGTCCGAAAGGAAGTCCTACTTAACATTAACTTGGAGACAGAATGTACTGATAAGAGTTTTTCTCCTCTATGAAAAAAAGGAGAATTTAGCACACTATAGTCAAACTTAGTTCCCTACAAATCTAGGGATAGTGTCCTGTGCAACAAGCAGGCTCACTAGTGAAACTGATTTTTTAAAAATTCTTTTTCATAGACATTTTTCCCAGAGATAAAGCATCAAAAAGAACAGGAATTGAACAAAGGATTCTTCAGGAAAGCCTTGCTTTTCCTACATCTCTCCTTGGCTTTTGCATCATTCTTTCTATTGTCCTTTTCTTGGTTTTATTAAACATCACTAAAGATGTTTCCTAATAAAAAAAAAGAAAAAACCAGAGTTCTGAAACTAGCTAGTTTGGTGAGGACATAAAGGACCAAGTTATTAAATGATGTCAGTTCTGATCAATAGGAAAGCTTTAGGAATATTCTGTTGTCTTCCTGGCCTGATTGAGCTTCGGACTTTATTCTGTTAATTTCTGGAATATATACCTCTTGTTATGTGTACTTTTTCTTTGTTTAAAATGCCTTTTTTGCAATCAGTTTGCCATTGTGAGGATATTGCTGAACAGCAGAATCCTCTGGGTCATTGAACTTTCCTGCCTCAAATAGTAAAGTATCAACTTGTCATGAAACTTTCAGGTGCCAGCACACAGTTATGTCTTTCCTCTGGAGCTGCAACTGTAAGAACACTTTCAAAATCTTTCCTTATGGAACTGAGTAATAGACTCCACAAACTGAAGGACTGGAGAAGACTTCTATTCAGTGTAGTGTCAGCTATTGGATTTGTGTTATGTGTCTCACTATATTCTGTTTCGTAAGTAAGCAGGGATGTAATGTTCCTCTGGCCTGTTAAAGTCTTCTTGTGCTAGTAATAAGTGCTACTCTGCTTTGCATTAGTTTTTCAGTATATAGTTTTCAGGTGATGTCTGCCCAACATAACTTAAAAGAAATTTTTCTCATACAATTACTGAGATACACAAATTTGTAAGTCTTCCATTAATACTGCAGCTTTGCATGACAGTAGTCCATGATCAAAGTGAGACAATCAAAGCATGAATAAGCTGAACTGCAGAGTAAGGAGAGGGTTGTTTGGTTTTTTTTCCAAAACTAATACTTTTCTCATTATCTGCAATAAGGTCATGTTTACAAATCAGCATAAATAGAAAGCCTAGAAAAGGAGATAATGGCAGTTAGAAGTCCTCTCTTTTGTAAAAGATTTAGATTTTTTTACATCCTCTGAGACACGGCTGTCAGCCTCATCCTCCACAGTAATGAGGGGTTTGTTTTCTGTTTGGGTATTTTGTTTTCTTTAAGACTACTTGGAAGTGTGACTTTTCTTTGAAAACTGGATTCATTCTTGTTGGTGTACCCATACATCCTCTTAGTTTTGGTTTTAGTTATGGTTTCAACCAATTTGGCCACTGTGGATGTAAGTCCTTCTGTTAGTTCCTGAATATTCCTAAGACCTCTGTTAAATGAAGGAATTAAATAAAAAAATCAGGAAATAGTTATACCTGTGGTGTCAACACTGATTTTAGTGACGAATTACACCTCCAGTCAGTCCTGCAGCTTTGTGCTTGAGTTTCCCTAGAACTCTTGAAAACTCTTGGATAAGTGTCAGCTGGCTATAGTGATTTGTTAATATTTGTTATATGTATTTGAAGATTCTTGTTCTAAGATGTACTCTACTTCAGTCTGAGACTGTTCTTCAAACCTGTCCTATCTAGAAAAGGGTGCTTCTCACATGGGAATGTCTTTCTGCAGTGAACTCTTGATGAAGAAGTATGGACTATGGCCTTATCTTCCTCAAGTGGTTGTTTTTCTTTATACTCTTTAGCAGGATTCCTCCTTCTGGTTTTATTATTAATATGTAACCCTTTAGCAAGTTGTTCTTCAGATTTTTTGGCCTGTCTTGCTGCAGTTCTACCATTTAATTTGCCTGGCTGGCATATTGGATTTGGTATAAAAATAAAATATTTTGGGGTTAGATGCATGCTGCGATTTCTTGTCAAGTACTTCTCTATTGCATCGCCTGTTCACATTAAATATTAGTCTTTGTTTATACCAATTCCTTGTCAAATTCAGATTTTCACTTATTGATCATCAGCAGGGTGTGTTTAAGATGCTGAGAACTACCTGACTGGACTTTTCAAAATCTTATTAGGTTGACTGTGTAATTAATATGCTCACACATATCAAGCAAAATTATCTTTTTTTTTTACCCCTATAATAAATATAAAACTGGTTTTATTAATAATAAAATACTCCAGATTAAAGCAATGTCAGATTACAAAGGTAACCTTGCACTTCACAGTATGCCTATATCCAGGATATTTGTGTAACCTCCTGCCTTATTTTTTAACTACAGGCAGAAGTGCCATTTTACCACAGATCTTCTTTCTCTTTCAGAGTGTAAGACTGACTGTTTTGAGATAGTGCACAGGGTCATAAGAAAATGATTGAGGGGAAAACAAGTGGAGAAAGGACCACACTTCTCTTTCAGACACTTTAAAGTCACAAAGCAGTAGTGGACTGAAACCCTAGTTTTTTTACAGTGTCTATATAGAGCTTAACAAAAATAGAACCTAGTAAACTTAGAATGGATAGGTTAATTGGATTAAACCCATAGGAGAAGTCATCTAAAGTTTCACATAGAGCTAGACAAATGTAAAAGGAAACCTCACCAGAGTTTTGTTTTTGAGGCTTGTTTTTTTAACCACAAATTGCAATTTCAAAAAGGAGTTCTTTAAGCTTTGACACTAGCCATTATGGGGCTGATGATTGAAGTTTCCTGTAGCTATTTAGCATTTTTCTGGTTTTTCTTTCTCAAAAAAAGTTATAATTTGAAATACTGTGCAAAGGAACAAATCCCAGTATCTTGAGCAGTTCCATGAGTGTAAGTTTTATGTTTACCAGCTTAAGCCAGCATTTGTAAAAGGTTTTGTAGCATTTTTATGATTTTGTTAAGTGGAAGATATCTGTGACTGGGTTCAGCTGATACAGCCTGGAGGTTTACTGCAATTGTGATAGTCACTGCTCTTACTGCATTATGAATACAAACAGCCAACACATTCTATATAACTCCCCCATTTCTATTACTGTTGGAAGTTTAATTATTAGGACTTCATTCCTGAGGTTTTGCTTGTGTAATTAGCACTTTAACATATAATCACATAGCCAACCGAGTTATGTTTTCACTCCTTCCCACATTAGCGTGAGCAAGAAAATGCAATGGCTCACCTTAAAAAGCAGCAACAAGAACTGGACCACATGAGGCTGTGCTATTTGGCAGCAGAAGAAAGAGAGTTGGGGAAAACAGACCGACAAGAGCTGGAGGATATCAGAATTGAACTTAACAGGTATAAAAGCATTTGCAACAGTCCTTTTTTTATTCACCTTCCCTCCCTTTTCTTGCAGTCTGCCTCAAAACAGGAGAAGGTTCAGTTAAATCAGGATTATAATTGGCTGTCAGTCCAGTGAATAAACATAGTTTAGTGTCCCTTAAGTAAAGATTGCACATTTATAAAATGTAACAGTACTGCAGTATAGAAAATATGTATTTAAGGCCACTGTACCCTATTTTTTATGTTATGGTCATAGTTTCGCAGCACCAGGCTTTTTTCTGTTTTAAACCTGCAGTTCTAAGGATAACTGCTACATTAAGAGAAGATAAGAGGCATGTACTATTAATAATATGAATACATAGAATTTTAAATCACTCTAATGCTGTCCTGCAAAAACTGTCTGCAGTAGTTCTGTTTGTTGAACCCTTTTAATGTGAGTGCTGTTCGCATTATCTAAATAGAAGCCTTGATAGCAAGTATTATTCTTATGTATGCATACAGAAAGGGTATTGTTAGAATTTAAGTATTATATTAACATTTCTTTTACTTACAGTTTTTCCCTTGAGAGAGGATAATTTGTTATCTTTTATAGTTAATAAAATAAAGAAATCTACTTCAGTAGATAAGACTTAATATAAAAATAATCAGAGTTGTTTTTAATATGGCTTATCCTCTGTTTCTTTCCATTTTATCAACATCAGGCTAAAGCAAGAAGAAGAAGAGAGAAGGCAGTTGCACAGTATTAGAGATAATTCTGCTGGTAAAGTGGGTAGTCTTCATTCTAGAAAATTAAATGAGAATATGGATGATTATCTGTCTCGTCTGATAGAAGAGAGGGATACTCTGTTGAGAACAGGAGTATATAATCATGAAGACCATATTGTAAGTGAACTTGATCGTCAAATCAGAGAAGCTATTGCAAAAAGGAACATCACTATATAAGAGTACAAAAAGTTGTTAAGAAGAGCCAACATTTGAACATAGTGAGTGATGTTTATAAACCTGTACTACTTGCTCTGCAAAGTGTTTAACGTCATGCCTAATTTTGCACACTGTTGTTAACTCTTTTTGAAGTCAATGTAAATATCTGCAACATGTGAAGTTAAGCACAGTTGTAAGTTTTATGGAGATGATGCCTATTTTTAATGGTTTTATATTTATATGTGTATATATATGTAAATATACTTATCTTGTGTGCTTTCTTCTGAAATGTTTTCTACCTCTTTTTGCATCACCCTGGCTAGGTTTATTGTAATATTTTTAATATTAATTATAAGATTTTTGGTCAATATTTGTTGGAGGCTTCATGAATTAAAATGGATATGTTTATATAGAGTTCTATGGTTTGGAATCACCACCTTAAGAATTCTGTAATTTAGAAAGACCACCTTAAGATGACACAGGGATAAAGAAAGAGAAAGTACAATGATGCGGCAAGAGAACGGCCCGGAAGTAAACCAACAGGAAGCGGAAGTAAACCAACCTGACCCGGATGTGGGCAGTGACTCATAAGATAGTAACCAATCATGTATTAGCTTAGATAATATGGACACATATATGTAACCAATAGAGATGCTTATGTAGTGTGACTAAGGGATTTTGGACTATAAAAGTGCAGCTTCTGATAAAATAAGTCTTCGATTTATAACTCTTATAGAGTCGTCTCGGAGTCCTGTGGTCATCTTGCAAATATTGTCATAATTTTTTTCAATTTTAAAAAAAATATATGTTCAGATATACTAGGGAAAAGTAACATCAGCTGTTTTCCCTGATAGAACTCTTAATTCTGAAATTAAGAATGAAAATCTTTGTTACCCTAGCATTCTTGTACATAGGCCTGTGAGAGTGTACGCAGCAGGGTAGACCTGATGCAGAAATATACGTGCATTCTTACATCCATCCCTAATGAGGAAAGATAGTTGAAGCACTAATTCAATGAATTTATACAGGTATAATTCTGAACAGATACATTAAACAAGAGCTTTTCTGAGTGAAGGTGTTTTATTTAATCAAGACCTAACAACTTTGCAGTTACTTAACATATATTTCAAAAGATTCAGCTCATTACCACTCAAATTGTGTATAAGGTTTGTTTGGTTGTGGACAGTACGAACAGGGCAAAGTCTCAAGGTGTTAAATGACAAAAGAGAAATCCAGAAAAAAATTTAATTTGTACATAATCACAGTTGAAAAAGTTTTTGTTGCAAGCCTTTATTCTATTTCAGTAATTTTAAAATCATAAGATTATCTTACAACACAGTCCTTTTAATAGGCATTTTTCTGTCTCCTTTATCTTAATCTCAAGTAATGACAATGTCTTAGGAATTGTTACTTTTAGAATAAACAAAGGTACCAGTGCAAAAATTGTGTGTGTGTGTGTGTGTGTGTGTGTGTGTGTGTGTGTGTGTGTGTGTAAAAACAGTGAACTTCCATGGACATGGCTGTATACATGTGGCCTTCCTGTTTTGTATGGTAATAATTGTATTTTTTAATTGTGTCTGGCTTTGCCTGTAAGGTGCATTGTTTTTCCTTTTCCCTACCATGGACTTACCTCCTGTAGATAAACCATTTGTTTAGGGTCCTTAGAAAAGTTTTGAACAAGCTGGATAAACATAGAGATCATATTCTGAGAGGAATTATCACTTATCAATACCAGATTTTATAAGAAATAGTTTTGTGATACTTTGCATACTCCACTGTATCTTTTGAATTAGTGTGCTTAAAGAGATCCCTCTTCACTGACAAACCAAGTCACACCTTCATAAACCAAATACAAATCCATAAGAAGTAATTTTACAATTTCTTTTAACATCATGGCTTTGTTATATCACTGATGCATCATCATATGCAATTATTGTAAGTGATTCTACTATCTTGACAGGAAGATTTGCTCACGCTGTTATTTCCTCACATGCTTGCTTGTGTACTAGAGGTGTAGTTTCTTCTTCAAACGCTGGAGGGTGCCTTAGACTTAAAGATCACAAAGAGTTTTCGTACCTGGTGATTTTTTTTTTAACTGGTTTTCTATGACTTTTCAGGTGTGTTATTTTATTAAATAAAATAGAAATTTTAAGTAAGTATTGAGAATATTGTGTTCAGTTTTTTCCACTGTGTGTGTGAACAAACTTGTTTTTGTTTACTCTTTACAGTAATATGACAGTCTTTAGTGCTTGAATCCATGAAGTTGACAAGTTTACTTTCAAAACTAATTTCACATTTTAATATCTAATTGAGTCTTTTCTGGGGCTTGTAAAGAAAGAAATAATTAAAAAAAATCCAATCCCCCCCAAAAAAAAACCAAAACCAAACAAACAAAAACACAAACAACCCAAACCAAAAACAGAAAAACATGGCAGTCATGTTGATGTGGGGTTTAAAAAGAAACTACTTGGGTGAGTTTTATTTACGGTAAAAGAAAGCATTGAGTAAAATAAATGGTAGAACACTTATTTTAAAACAAAACCAAACATTTATAAACCTGATATTTTAAGATACTCAGGTCCATTTTGTCATTTGAAAGATCACTAATTATAAGATGAGAAGCATGAATTTTACTAAAAAAAATTATTTAGCATTTTTATTTTGTAATATTGTGTATAGTGTCCATTGTTTGCATTAAAATGAGAAAATCAATGGTACTTTAAACTTAGTGTTTCAGTGTCATTTTTTGCAGCACAATTTGTCTATGTGCTTCAGTGTAAAGTACTTTAGAAAAAAAAAATCTGTATTTGTAGTAGATATCTATAGCAGAGATGAACTCAGAATTACTCTTTTATTTTGTTTTTTAAAAAAATATTTTTGTTTTAGGTTCCATTTGCCTTTTTTTTCCTCAGAAACATTTTATAGGTTGTAGCTATTCAGTGGAAAGACTAAGTACCATTTGTTAAATCAAATTTCTCTTAAAATTTTTATCTTAATCTCCCTTCTTGGCAAAATGAGTGCCATTTGAAACAGATGCATGAGATAACTAATTTATTTTAGTTTACCTGGCATAAAAAGGACTGCTGAAAATGAAACCTGTGTTTAGGGCATATGGGACCAGGACTGAACCTGCAGAAAAGGGGGTGGGAATAGGAGCAACAGCTCGCTGGCATTCTGGCAAACTCCTGCTATTGGTTTAAGTGCACCCAGATTTCACTAGGGAAGTTGGTTGAATTACGTTAAAACAAGAACTCTTGCTAATATGTTTCTGTGAACCCAAATGCCCATAAAAATCAGTAAAAATAAATAAATAAAAAAAATTAGTAAATTAGGGGCTGTTTTATGGCCAAATCAACTCCAGCTTTCATCTACCTTATGATTCAGGCCCAGAACTTGCAGTTGGCTTTGGATAAGGAAACTTCTATTATAGCCTTTGTTTGTCCAACCTAGTCTTAATAGAAAAGTATTAGCCCATCTAAAAATGAGGGCATTTAGAAACACTGTTCTTTTTTCTGATAATCCTCAGGCAGAGGATCCTCTCCTGTCTCTGTATGTGCTAATCATTCCTACAGTGGTGTAGACTTTCTCTTACCAATCTTTACTACCAAAGAGTTGCCTCAGATTATTTACTATGGGTTTAGAAGTAAGGCAGCAAATCTGGATGTAGTATCTTTATACACCTTGATATGGAGCATTAGCTAAGATTTTGAGAACTGTTACAAAGAAATGTATTTTTGCCCTTGTTAATTTTTAGACTGTATATCAGAAAAATTGTCTCCAAATTATTATTTACTTAAGCAGTGGAATGCATTATGAAGAAATATGATAAATTCTTTTAAAAATAAGACAGCACTGTTTTGCTTTGAATCTGGATTATTTAAATACATAGTTACATTGTTGATCTTTCCAGTATATTGTGTTTTGGGTGAAGCTATAACCACTGTTTCCATAATACTTTAGCAGTTACCCAGCACTTTTAACACTAACACACTTTCAGAATTGCTGTTGCAGAAAAGAAGCAATGTTATGTCTGGCACTGAGCTTTCAAGTATTCAATTCGTAGTTTTCCCTCACTGCAGTTAAAATGCTTCTCCCTTCCATTCACTGAGATAGACCTTAACGCACAACTAAAGGCAGAAGTGCTTTATCATATCTAAGTGCTACCGAAGTATTTATACCAGTTATTACATATTTACACAATTATTTATTTTGCTGCTACTGTGCCTAAATGATCATGACCTGTGTCAAGGCTTGGATAGGAAGCACTAGCTTCGCTATTGTTAAAGACAGGACTGTAGAAAGGCAGCTGCATACTTAGATCTCATTTCATTTGTTTCTCCAGGGGGTTGTATTAGTAGTGTTTTCATTAGAAATGCTTTTACAGATGTCAGCTATCCAGATATGAAGTCTCTGTGGTGGAGAAGCAGTCAGGAGTTTGGCATTCAGAACAGAAAGAAATAAAAGTCAACTTTGAGAGACTAATTTATAGAAAAATTATTTATTGACTTTCTGATGTATAAATGTACAGTAATCCCATGGTGGCTCTAATGCAGAGTAATAGAATTCTTGCAAGTTCAGTTATTTTCTATTCTTAACTTGAGGAAACACTACAGCCTGTCGTTCCCCATCACCAAAGACTATAATAGTCCCCATTAATAATGGTTCTGAAAAAGTGACACCCACTAGTTTGTAGTCCAGTACTCTCTTTTCCCAAGTGAAATACTTATAGTAGTTTGACAGCATTTTAAACAATTTATGTATTATTACAAAAGGTTTTGTTCTAACAATATACATAGAGAGTAGATGGTTACGGAAGTGTAGTGTTGCTGAATGTATGGCCAAAGGGTTTTGCTGCAGTTACTGAGACACAACTGCATTGACAAATAAGGTGGTATCAAAATGTAGAGTGGGTTTACTGGGGCAGATGAAGTTTAATATAACATTTCACAGCCTCATACAGTTCCAACAGTCATTGTACATTGCTCATGGCTGTGGCTGCATTATTAAAAAAAAAAACTGTA